TATATTGTTGTAAATTGTTAAGATAAACATTTTTGCTTCAGTAATGTATAACAAAATATTGATCGTTAAAAAGTTATAGATGAAAGACTTTTGGCCCCTCTGAGCCCCTTACTTGAGGGGTCAGCCCCTTTTTCTTGATATCAAATGAAAGCACTTATCATTCTGCACAACTTTTGTTATATATGTTTTAACAAAATATTTACAGGTATAAAGATATGATAGAAAACTTGTCAAATTTTGCGAGATGCTTGTGAGCCTATTTTTCGAGCCCAGGCGAGCTTTGGCGCCTTTTGCGCTGGAAAGATATGGACGCAAAAAAGCATATCTACAATCCCTCCTCTACCTTCACTGAAAATCTCAACTCAATATCTTTATTCGTTTTGGAGTGATTACCAGGACAAGCCGACCCTCTGAAAATCAGATAATTGTCTATATCTCACGACCGGAAGTGACGTCATCAATATAAAAAATTTCCAATAAGGTTCAGATCAATATCTATCAGATCTGAAAGTTTCATGAAAATCGACCGAGTCGTTTCCGAGAACTCGCGTGCACAAAATCGGTAAGAAAAAAAAAGAATAATAATAATAATAACTAGATGAGATCTCGTTGCGAGCAACGAGTAGGTCTTCCGTCCGATTTTTCGATAAGATGAGATATGATTTTGACTATGAACTTTGTTAAAAGATAATAATATATAGACTTCTCTAATTAGATTTCATTCTTTTGATTTTTATAACATTATCAGAGCTATAGATGACAGACTTCTGGCCCCTCTGAGCCCCTAGTTTGAGGGGTCAGCCCCTTTTTCTTGATATCAAATAAAAGGTCTTGTGATTTTGAAGACTTTTTGTTTAACAACTATTCAGAGATTTCCTTTCGTTGTGGAGATATGTTGAATGGAAATATTTAGGGGCCACCCCTCCAAATCCTTAATGGGGCCGTTTGACAAAGATAGAAAGAGTGTATATTGTAAAGAACATTATTCTGACCATCTTTTGTTCAGTATTGCTTATCAAAATATTCCCCCTTTTCGAGATATAAAGCGTCAAAGATTTAGTATTCTGGCCCCTTTTGACCCTTTATTACGTAACATATGATCAGAATCTTATCACATATTGTTGTAAATCATTAAGATAAACAACTTTGCTTCAGTAATGTATTGCAAATTACTGATCGTTAAAAAGTTAAAAATGAAAGACTTTTGGCCCCTCTGAGCCCCTAATTTGAAGGGTCAGCTCCTTTTTCTTGATATCAAATGAAAGGTCTTGTGATTTTGAAGACTTTTTGTTCAGAGATTTCTTTTCGTTATGGAGATATGCTGAATGGAAATATTTAGGGGCCACCCCTCCAAGTCCTTAATGGGGTCGTTTGACAAAATTTGAAAGGGTGCATATTGTTTAGAACATTATTCTGACCATCTTTTGTTCAGTATTGCTTATCAAAATATTCCCCCTTTTCGAGATATAAAGCGTCAAAGATTTAGCATTCTGGCCCCTTTTGACCCTTAATTACGTAACATATGATCAAAATCTTATCATATATTGTTGTAAATCGTTAAGATAAACATCTTTGTTTCAGTAATGTATTACAAATTATTGATCGTTAAAAAGTTAAAAATGAAAGATTTTTGGCCCCCTCTGAGCCCCTAATTTGAAGGGTCAGCTCCTTTTTCTTGATATCAAATGAAAGGTCTGGTGATTTTGAAGACTTTTTGTTCAACAACTATTCAGAGATCTCTTTTCGTTATGGAGATATGCTGAATGGAAATATTTAGGGGCCACCCCTCCAAGTCCTTTATGGGGCCGTTTGAGAAAAATTGAAAGGGTGCATATTGTTAAGTACATTATTCTGATCATTTTTTGTTCAGTATTGCTTATCAAAATATTCTCCCTTTTCGAGATATAAAGCATCAAAGATTTAGTATTCTGGCCCCTTTTGACCCTTTATTACGTAACATATGATCAGAATCTTATCATATATTGTTGTAAATCGTTAAGATAAACATCTTTGCTTCAGTAATGTATTACAAATTATTGATCGTTAAAAAGTTAAAAATGAAAGATTTTTGGCCCCCTCTGAGCCCCTAATTTGAAGGGTCAGCTCCTTTTTCTTGATATCAAATGAAAGGTCTGGTGATTTTGAAGACTTTTTGTTCAACAACTATTCAGAGATTTCTTTTCGTTATGGAGATATGCTGAATGGAAATATTTAGGGGCCACCCCTCCAAGTCCTTTATGGGGCCGTTTGAGAAAAATTGAAAGGGTGCATATTGTTAAGTACATTATTCTGATCATTTTTTGTTCAGTATTGCATATCAAAATATTCTCCCTTTTCGAGATATAAAGCATCAAAGATTTAGTATTCTGGCCCCTTTTGACCCTTTATTACGTAACATATGATCAGAATCTTATCATATATTGTTGTAAATCGTTGAGATAAACATCTTTGCTTCAGTAATGTATTACAAATTACTGATCGTTAAAGAGTTAAAGATGGAAGACTTTTGGCCCCTCTCAGCCCCTAATTTGAGGGGTCAGCCCCTTTTTCTTGATATCAAATGAAAGGTCGTATCATTCTGCACAACTTTTCTTTTATATGTTTTAACAATTTTTTAACATGTGTAAAGATATAAAAGAAAAGGTGTAAAATTTTGTGAGATGTTTCTGAGACATTTTTTGAGCCCTACCGAGCTTTGGCGCCTTTTGCGCTAGATAGATTTGGACACCTGCCTGCAAATCTACAAACCTTCCCCTACCTTCACTGAAAATCGTGACTCAATATCTTAAGTCGTTTCGGAGGAGTTTCCAGGACAAGCCGACCCTTTGAAAATCAGAAAATCCTAAATAACCTGAGATGGAAAGTGACGTCATCAACGAAAAAAATTTCCAATAAGGTTCAGATCAATACCTATCAGATCTGAGAGTTTCATGAAAATCGGCCAAGACGTTACTGAGAACTTGCATGCACAAAATCGGTAAGAATAATAATAATAATAACTAGATGAGATCTCGTTGCGAGCAACGAGTAGGTCTTCCGTCCGATTTTTCGATAAGATGAGATATTATTTTGACTATGATCTTTGTCAAAAGATAATAATATATAGACTTCCCTAATTAGATTTCATTCTTTTGATTTATATAACATTATTAAAAAAGCTCTAGATGACATGCTTTTGGCCCCTCTCAGCCCCTAGTTTGAGGGGTCAGCCCCATTTTCTTGATATCAATTGAAAGGTCTTGTGATTTTGAAAACGTTTTGTTCAAGAAATATTCAGAGATTTCTTTTCGTTGTGGAGATATGCTGAATGGAAATATTTAGGGGCCACCCCTCCAAGTCCTTAATGGGGCCGTTTGACAAAAACTGAAAGGGTTCATATTGTTTAGAACCTTATTCTGACCATCTTTTGTTCAGTATTGCTTATTAAAATATTCCCCCTTTTGGAGATATAAAGCGTCAAAGATTTAGCATTCTGGCCCCTTGTGACCCCTTATTATGTAACATGATCAGAATCTTATCATATATTGTTGTAAATCATTAAGATAAGCATCTTTGCTTCAGAAATGAATTACAAATTATTGATCGTTAAAGAATTATAGATGAAAGACTTTTGGCCCCCCTGAGCCCCTAATTTGAGGGGTCAGCCCCTTTTTCTTGATATCAAATGAAAGGTCTTGTGATTTTGAAGACTTTTTGTCCAACAACTATTCAGAGATTTCTTTTCGTTGTGGAGATATGCTGAATGGAAATATTAAGGGGCCACCCCTCCAAGTCCTTAATGGGGCCGTTTGACAAAAATTGAAAGGGTACATCTTGTTTAGAACATTATTCTGACCATCTTTTGTTCAGTATTGCTTATCAAAATATTCTCCCTTTTCGAGATATAAAGCGTCAAAGATTTAGAATTCTGGCCCCTTGTGACCCCTTATTACGTAACATATGATCAAAATCTTATTATATATTGTTGTAAATCATTAAGATAAACATCTTTGCTTCAGTAATGTATTACAAAATATTGATCGTTAAAGAGTTAAAGATTAAAGACTTTTGGTCCCTCTCAGCCCCTAATTTGAGGGGTCAGCCCTTTTTTCTTGATATCAAATGAAAGGTCGTATCATTCTGCACAACTTTTCTTCTATATGTTTTAACAAATTCTTAACATGTATGAAGATATGAAAGAAAAGGTGTAAAATTTTGTGAGATGTTTCCGAGACATTTTTTGAGCCCGACCTAGCTTCGGCGCCTTTTGCGCTAGAGAGATTCGGACACCTGCCTGCAAATCTACAAACCTTCCCCTACCTTCACTGAAAATCTTGACTCAATATCTTAAGTCGTTTCGGAGGAGTTTCCAGGACAAGCCGACCCTCAAAAAATCAGAAAATCCTAAATATCTCGAGATGGAAAGTGACGTCATCATCGGAAAAAATTTCCAATAAGGTTCAGATCAATACCTATCAGACCTGAAAGTTTCATGAAAATCGGCCAAGACGTTACCGAGAACTTGCGTGCACAAAATCGGTAAGAATAATAATAATAATAATAATAATAATAATAGGGAAAAAGAAACCGAACGAAAACAATAAGGTCTTCCGTTGGAGACGGAAGACCTTAATAATAGGGAAAAAGAAACCGAACGAAAACAATAAGGTCTTCCGTTGGAGACGGAAGACCTTAATAATAATAATAATAGGGAAAAAGAAACCGAACGAAAACAATAAGGTCTTCCGTTGGAGACGGAAGACCTTAATAATAATAGGGAAAAAGAAACCGAACGAAAACAATAAGGTCTTCCGTTGGAGACGGAAGACCTTAATTATATAACTTGATATATTAAAAAAAAGGGGGGAACAGATGGAGAAGTCCCAAGACAGTGTTTCATTTCTCCAACTTGATGACACAAAAAAAAGAATTGAAGAAAGGCTAAACCACATTATTGGCAAGGAATCCAACTAAGCAATTAATATTCCGAGGTATTAATTAAGGTATGTCCATAGTCCCACCTGATTCTGATATGTCGTCCCAGTAGGGCGAATCAAATTCATACTCGGCTCGGAGAATCTGTTGGAACAAAGCTGCATCATTTTCATCATAAAATGGAGGATAACCACATAATCTGAAAGAATAAAAAATAACAGAAAGGTGCAGGAGAATGTAAAATCAAACTAAAGATTTCATAACGAAACTAATTCCCTCTTCCTCTTTCACTGGCAACCAGAACAAAATTGTAATTTATAAGTTTTACAGCTATGCAAGTTTTAACTTCTATATACCATATTCATTTGTCATATCATGTGACCCTTACTTGTTAAAGTGAAATTGGATGAGGTCTGGTCAGAAGCCATCTTTGCTGCAGAACTGTAGCTCTCTGGTTGAGAAAGTTCAAACAGTCAAACCAGCTGGTTTGTTCATCCGAATTTTCTCAACCAGAGAGGTACAGCTCTGCAGCTAAAGCAATCTGTAAGTGAGGTATAAGTCTCTACATGTACAATCGGAAAAATAAATATCATTGGACACAAGACACAAAACTTCTCCTTTCTAAACCATGTGACATATTCCTTCTGACTCCAACAATACAACATGGCAGCTTAAGTTGAATTTTGGCAGTCAGACTTGTATGCATGGTTCCTGTTGTGTATATTTACTGATCACTGAGCCCAACTTTGAAATTAATCTCGATCCCAATCAAAAAAACTAAAGAAACTGCTAATTACTGCTTACAAAACTGCTTAATAGGAAAACTGTCTTCTCCCCAAGCATTGGCAGCTGTGATATAACTGCTAGGGAAACTGATAACTGCTTAGGAAAACTGTTTACTCCTAAAGCTCTGGCAGTTATAAAAGAGCAGTAAAAGCCCAACTGTACGAAACTGTTAGAAAACTGCTTGAAATTTGTAAAACTGCTAAAGAACTGCTTCATAACTGCCTATATAAGCAGTTCACTTTTCCATGGGATTGCCCAATTACCTTTGGCTCTTGGTCATGACAAAACCATATATAGGTCATAACTGGTAACTCCAGGTTTAAAATTACCTTTGTGTCTTTCATTATAATGCTATGGACTACTTAAGAATTTTAAATTTTTATCCCTGCAACCTTGACCTAGATTTTGAATTTGGATAGAGGTCAAACAACACACCTTCAGGTCATGTACAAACTTTATTCTATCCTAAGGTATGAACTTTTACAATTTGTATTACAATTACAAGCTTATGGCCCAGACAAATCTTTGGGACTTTTACATAACATGTACCAAATGATCCTACTCAAGGTAATTCAACATCCTCAAACTTTGAGTAGAGTAAAATATTCTAACATTTGATTGGTTTAATGATTTTAATGCCATTTTGAAATAAGGCTAATATAAAGTAAAATTTAGGGCAGCTAGAAGGCAATATAAACATAAAATCTATAAAATGATTTGTGGTGTTCACCTAATTTTATTACCTCTGATGAGTTAATTACATAACTCTGCAAAGGAAATGTATGCAGTATCATTTTATGTATGTACTGTAGTTTCTTAATGAAGGCTGCATGAGTAGGACACATAAATCCACTGATTAAAAATCTGTCTGATCCAGTAGAAATGTTTCTTCATTCACTTCCCTATTTCTGTTAAACCTTGCTAGCAGGAAGTGTAGAGTTTAGTCTCCAGTGATGTAAAGTATTATATTTTATATCTATTGTCCCTGCTGTTTCCTTTAAGATTATCATAGATCTGTTTTCAACTTGTCAGATAGTCCCAGCTATAGGTATCTGATTTTGTCAAATTCTTAAAATGATTTATATCCAATGTCCTTGTATTATTTTTTTTTAACGTCAGTGCAAATGTTTAATAAAGCCATGAAAATCCATTTATGAAATAAAAACAATTTAAACATGTCATATTATCATTGTTTGGAGTTTACATTAGGGTATCACAGGGCCTTCTAATTGACAGACTGACGTGAAGAAGGCAACAAGATGTAACACTGGCAGAAACGATGGGGAGAAAATATTTGGATAAAGTGAAAATAATACAGCTGAACTTCAGTATCTTGAACATCAATATCTAAATACCACAAATATGTCAGAGGAGTTAGAAGTTCCAATTTTTTTTTTTTTTTTTTTTTTTTTTTTTTTTTTTTTAAATTTTAACCTCAGTATCTCTAACCCTGTGCTATCTTAAAATCTCTATAAAGTTTTTTCTTGGCCCTATCGGGTTCAAGATAATCAGATTGCTCTATCGGGATCAAGATAATCAGGTTTGACAGTAACTCTAACAAATGAAATTTACATTTAGAATTTAGTACTCAGCAAAACAGATTAAATTCAAATTAAAATTACAGTATTCTTTGTCAATAATGGGTAACATTTAAAATCTAAGATTCATAATATTCATCGAAGCTCAGAAACTCAGGAGTTTAAAATTTACATTGTAAAGGAGCATTCTGGACATTTCAGCATTTCTTGGACAATCCCCTTATCATGATAAATATGTGTTTATATATTATATACTTAAATCCTAATATTCTCTTTTAGCCATCCAAAATAAATGACTACCCCTACCCTCAACCTCCACCCCCTCTCTTTCTCTCAAAAAAAGTTTCTTTATATACTAACTTCAGGTTAGAGAACACAGAAGAATAAAATTGTCATCCTTAAAACAATCTTCTACACTCAATAACCCATAGTAATTCACAGTTTACAGTCTTTTAGGTGAACACACCAAGTACCTCTCAGCTCATGATAAGAAGAACACAGGGGACAATCATTTCTCATCATCCTAATGTACCGCATTCATCAATTGCTTTTTTGTCTGCTTGTGTCAATAATTTTCTATCCACAGAGGATACTCGTAATTGACTTACATCTGTCGTTGTACATTTCTCAGTCTGAATGCATCACCGACAAGTATTGGTTTGAAATAGAAATTCCATTAGTAACTTACACACTATTGTTTACACACTCTTTTATCTCAGGGAGAAAATGCTCAACCTATTTTTTCTATGATGAGGAGATTTATTAACTGGAAAACTAAGTCATACAGAACTCTTCAGCATCCTCAACCATTTCAATATCCTGTCATTGGGGGACCCCCGAAATCTAATGGTGTCTTCCCCCACCCTCCTACCACTGAATGAATACAAAGTCATTAGAATAAAGTATTTTTCTAGTAATCATTTTAAGTATTGGTAGACATATCAATCATCTTTCATTAACTCTGACCTTTTGACAATGACACTTATTTGAGTGATAAGGGGGGATGGCTGCCTAACTTGTGCAATTACAGTGTATTACTTACAATATGTACGATATAACACCTATGGACCAACAGTCAACTTCTTTGCCATATGGTTGCTGGGCTAAAACTTCTGGTGCTGAAAAACAACATATCAGAATAATTAAAATGTTTAAAATGTAGCTTATAGAACCCATTACCTTCTTACTTTGAATTATCTAATAATCAATGATTTTTTTTTCTTTAAATCAGTTAGACAGGCTACCAGGGCATCATATTCTTTTACTTTTATTACACAGGCACATTACTTTTAATTAGACCATTAATCTAGATCACGCAAGTTACAGTCTCAATTTTGTTAAGTTTAAGATCAAACTATTTCAACAGAGTACATTCAAAGGCTAACCAATTTCACCATAGATAAAATTTCAAAGTGTTTTTTTTTCCTTTCCAGAGACTGAAATATCCAAACCATAAATAAAACATACTAATCACTAGAACACATGATATATGAAACTTGGAAAGTTATTTATTGAACACTGAACTCGGTCACTAAACTTTGTTAAGTAGAAACCGACATGCTGTTACTACCTAACAGTTAATAATCCACAAGTCATATGAGTTGGCTTACGATAAAATGTTTCATATTACTATAAATTTGCCTCCTATTCACAGATATTTACACATCGTACTTGTATTGTTAATTACACAGAGTAGCAAAATAAAGCAGAGGGCTATTTCTATCATACAATGATAATGCTAATGGATGAATAAAAAATACAGTTGAACTCATGTATCTTGAATACTGTAGATCACTAAATTTTGGAGACACCTTATTTTCTTGAGATGGTCATTTGGTATTTATAAGCAAGACATAATTTCCCGATTTTGGGTATTGTTCTGAACAATCTTTAGTAAATACAAATATATGTGAGAATTAAATTATTTTTGTGGCAGTTTCATGTTATAACACAGAAAGAAAGTGATTTACAGTATCATGGATATGTCAATTTGAAAGCAAGTTGGAAATCTCATCCACTTTTTCTTTATGTATTTTAACCTCAATATGTCATATTCCCTGATATCTCTCTGATACTTTTTCTTTCTATGCTCCATCAAGTTGGAGTTAACAAGGTTTGACTGTACATGTAAAGGCACTGATACCCAGGAGAATACTTATTTAAAACTTGACAAAAGACTTTTTCTAACATGATTATAATAAATTACCTCCACACTTGAATTTCTGTACAGATATAGTAAAAATTTAATGTCCTTTCATAATTTTTAGAAACCCATGTATACAAGAGGAAGCACAAAAGTTCACTTATTTTAAATAAGACATATTTTTATTTTTAGTCAACTTTGTTTTGTTTGTTTTTCAAGAAAAGACATCTGATACATGTACTAAATTTAATGAACACAATTAATCCTCCATGAGTAAACACATTTTAGAAAAAAAATAATTTATATGACACAATTTTCCTGATTGTATCATGTGTATTATAAATCATGCTTATAGACCAAATTCTGAACTTTATTCAACTTCCTTTCAGTAAAAATTCAACTCTACATGTATACTTTTCAAGACATAAGTATAATCTTTTTAATAATCTTGAATATTTCAAAAATTAATCATGGGTAACTACAAAAAAAAACAATGCCACTTTTTACAGTTTTCCATGAAGCACATGTTCTCCTCTATCTATGATATGAATGGGACAGGAACTAACCAAGCCTTAGCTAATCACAATAATACCAGTCTAGCCGGTCACCAATTATCAGACACTCTCAGGGTGCGTAAGGATGGGCAATTACTGTCAAGGAAGCATTTCTTTACACACCAAAAACCCAGCAGAAAATGTGAATCTGTGGAACTAAAACCTGTCATTAATCTACAAAGCCTGTCCTTGGGGGCTACTGTCATTTTCATCAGAAATGACTGGTATACATAGTTCACTTGGTTTTAAGAAAAGACAGCGCTGCAGCCTCCATTAATGCTTGAAATCAATTCAGTGTGAAGTAATGGGATTTGCTACATAGCCCCAGACACTATATTGTGTACAGAAACCTTAGAGAATGTTCAATGTTGTGTTTTTCTTTGTAAGTGTGTGTGGTATTCCTTGACAGTATTGGTTAAAAGAGATGGAGGTTATATCCAAGCATTTTGCCAAAAAGTCACATAATAAGTATTTAGTCTAAAATTCTCCACGTAAAAGGCAAATTACATCATCAACTTTGAGAAGTCTATTTGATTGAAAAATATAACAGTCAATGTACTTACAAAAAAGTATTTATTAAACTATGTAAAGTACATTGTAAATTTCCCTGAAAATTGGCTTTTCTTACCTACATAACCAGGTGTGCCACAGGCGGTTGCCATGGTACCAGATTCCTCCGTTTTTGATAAACCAAAATCGCTAATCATAATTTTAGAATCAGCATCTGGACTATAATATAATAGATTTTCTGGCTGTAAAAAAGCAAATACGAAATTCAATTAGATTAATGAAATTGTCTTACTTGTTAAATTTATTTTTATATAAGGTCACTTTTCAGTGTACCATACCAAACTGAACCTAGCAGTGCAGCAATTATTTTCAACATGTTGACAAAGTGTCGATACTGAAAAATCATACATAGGGAAATTCAAAATTACAAGAATTGAATTTAAATGTGAAAATCTTTTGAAATAACTCTTAATAAAACACTTCCTTTCTATTCCAAAACTGTGAAAAAAAATTTTTTAATCTTTTTTCCCCTTAATATAACATGTGGCACTTATTAGTAATAATTGATAATTAAAAACACCTTTCTCTCAATTGTAGAAAATAAGATTTGATAAATTACTTGACCTTCAAAGAACACAATGATTATTATTTTCCCCTACACATTCAAGAGCTCTTTTTAATAAAAAAGAAAATGTCAAAAAGGTACTAGGAAAATGTCAAAGATAGATAAAACCAACTGAGAATCATTATCAATGGTTACAAAGAGGCAGAGTAATGAACAGCAAGTCATTATAGTACAGTTTCATAAAATTTCTTATTCTTTATTTCCTTCGACTTCCTTCGTCATCAATTCTGCCTTTAAATTTTGTTTTCTCCTGTAATATTGAACATGTAATATGTGAACAATTCTGTTTTGCTGTTAGAATTGAGATTTTTATTCTGTGTGAGCCACCTCAACATGCTCAAGGATATGAAATCTCATGGGCTGCAGTATATTACAAAGCATGGTAGAGGTGCCATTATCCGATATCTATATCTCTGGTGAAATGTAATTCATACTTTATATTCTACCTACAGCTTGAATATTACATGTAGCAGTACATGTAACGTAGGTTGTATAGATGGCCCTACTGACTGAATGTGGTGTTCTATATAATGTTCAAAGGCCAGCCATTTTGAAAATAATTTAATATATATATTATAAATTTTACAATTACATGTATATTTATTCAAAAAAATCTTACAGGATTGGGGCAACATGCAATGTCTCAGTCTAAATGCCCTCTCCAAAAAGAGGAATGAGGACAAATTCTTTTTGAAACATACTTATGAAATATATGTGTATATGGCTAATTCATCCTGCATGTATTCATGCAGCTTTTGAGAATATAAAACAATTTCTGGGAAGTTCCCGAATTAACTGACAAAGATGAGAGACTAAATAGAGAATATTGCATACTAAAATTCATATATGGGCTGATATGGGGCCCAAAAGTTAATATGACGTAAGATATGGAATTTAGTTTGTAGTATTCTATTTATCACATATTCAAAATATTAAATGTGTGAGTTCACATAAAGTCATGTAAGAACATTTCGTGTACATATGACCTTTTTCTTTAATATCTATTAGAGCCAATTTTTGGATATTTTAAAACTTAAGTCAAGAAATTTTTGTACATGCGCAGATCTTATTACATGTATATTTCAATAAAATCAAATTAATTAACTTTTACACTTTTTAAATACTTTTTTTCTGGTTTGATATCCATTTTTGCATGCCAGTCTGATAAGTGATAAGGTTGTTCATTGATATGCGTTATTGTGACGTCACCTGCATCACACAGTGAGGAATCGGTGTTTAATATTACTGACTAATATATGATAAATATTATAGTTACACAATTAAAACAATCCTTGCCATTTTGAACAAAAAAAAGATAAACTAGTTCTTCATAGATTGCATATAACAATACTCATTGCTCTAATATAATTTTCCTTTAAGATTTGTTTTATTATAATTATCAGAAAATTAAAATCAGCTAAAAATTTAATCAAATTTGCTTTCATCCTTGCTGAGAATAGAGGAATCTCTTTATGAACCTAGCTTTAAACTTTGCATTAAAGCTTTCGCACATAACGTTACTTTGATATAAACCTACATTTAAAACTTAATATTGAATAAGGCTTCAAAGTGGATATCCAGTTGAAGTGAAAAGTGAGAAATTTATACACTGAGGAAGTTATGGTCATTAAAACATATCTGACCATGCCACAAGATTCTGTGTTTTAATTCTGCTCTTTTTCCATGAGGGGTAGGGGGTGGGGGGATCTGACTACAACATTATCACCTTTAAATCCCTATGCACCACACCACGATCATGCATATAGTCCACACCTTCTAGGACCTGTTTGATCAGGTTGCTGGCATCTTTCTCTGTATAGCTACCTTTCTGGACTATTCTATCAAATAATTCACCCCCTGTCACACTGGAAAAGAAATAATGATCAAAATAGGACGTTTGTCTTTAAAATTATCTAGAATACTTAAAACAGAAAGAAAAACATGCAGATATAATTTATATCATCTGAGTATAATAGCTTTCTTTTCATATCATCTCAGTATAAAATCCTATAAAAGCCTGACTGCAATAACCACTCTGGGATGAGGTTCAAGATCAGAGAGCTGGGAAACTGAGAGAATACTTGGAGAGAAGAATTAAAGACTAACTAATTTCATAGAATCTGATGTCATCACTATAAGGACAGAAAATGATGCATAGATTTTTTTTATTTTCATTTCATCTACATAATCACCTTGATTTTTTAAATGTGTTCACATACTAAGTACCTGTGCACCAATTAGTGACAAACTACTATCCAAGAAACATAGATCAACCCCCCCCCCCCCCCCTCCATTTCATCGTGTCTTAAACAAAACACTGTGTTTTTTTCTTTACTCCATCTGGCCGCATATTTGATGATCTTCAAAGTTCCAACAGGTGGGGGTGTAACAAAATAAATGATGGATGAAAAGTTACGCTACCACGTATATTATGCAATTTTTTTTAATTATCCTAATTTTTTTTTCTTGGCTTGACATCAGTCAACATCCTCTGAGAATATGCAGTAATTTGATTTAACTATCCAATTTTTTTTTGTTTGCTCAACATCATTGACATTTTTTTACTTACAGTTCCATGACTAGGTACACATGAGCTTTGTCATCAAAAACATCTAGCAGCTGCACAATATTGGGATGGCTGAGTCTGCAAATATAAAACCATAGAAACTTCATAAATAATTCAGAATCAAACTGAAAAAGATTATTATTTTTCTCTATTGTTCCCTAGTATCTGATTGGCTCAAACTAGATCATATGATCTGAAGTATAAAACATATCTTATAAACTGGGTGTTTCTATTTTAAGCTTCTGAAAATAGCTTATTAAAATGGTGTTTCTAAAATTGAAAAAAGTTCTTCTGTGAAGCAACAATAGTGATGATGTCACAATAGTCATTATAAACTGGATGTTTCTAAAAACGGATACCTCAGCTGTTATTTGTGATGCCATAATGGGTATAAAATTAACATAACAATGCCGTATATGAGAAACTATTGACTCAGTTGTATTGAGTATTAGAAACATGGATTTTTGAGACAATTCTTATTAACTGAAAAGGATATAGAAAAATAATAAAACAAATATAGCCTTATGATTCGGTACAATCCCTAGATATGCTTTCTCTGAGGTGTGTATATCTAGGGATTGACCTCATCGAAAGGCTATATTTGTATAGTATTTTTACAATGTTCATTACCTTTTTCTCTTCTTATACAAAATATAGAGATTTTGATTCTTGGAGTCATTTTTACACTCCTTTAAAAAAATTCAAAACTTTTTATGATGTTTTCAGAGTTGAGAAAATAAAGTTTCTACATCAATATTTACAAACAATTTCCAGACATTGTAAAATTAAAACCAAAACTGAAGAAATTGTCAATTATTTCAAAATTAAGGAACAATTAACTCATCTTACTCTCCTGAAACTTGTGAACAAACTTTATCATACTTCCATGTATACTAATTTTTTAAATTAATGGTACATGGTCTACATTTCATGCAAGAAATTGGTAATTAACAATTTTGGAAGAGGCACCCTTGCTCATCATATACATCTAGTTTGTTTGCTTCATATACACAAGATCAGAGAAGATGATTTTCAAAGAAATAATGGATTTTCATTACATAATCAATAGAGCCCTCTCCCCCCCCCCCCCCCCCCCCCCCCACACACACACACACACCAAAACCCATGATACTGGAGCCACAAATTTCACAATTTTTGAAGAGGCACCTTTGATTATCATAACTATGCTCTAGTTAAACTGCTAATTAGGGGGGGGGGGGGGGGGGAAGATTTTTAAAGAATTTATGCATTTTCACATTATGATCATTAGAACCACACCCTAACTCCAGAACCCCTGACCCTGGGACTATTAATTTCATAATTTTGGTACAAGACTCTATCCTTATACAATCATGCCAACAGTCTGACTGCTTGATGTCCAGGAGTAAAGAAGCTTTTTGAAAGATAGCATTTTGGTGGTTTTAGCCCCACCTGTCAGGCCCCAGTGGGGCAGGGACCATGAAATTCAAAATTTTGTACCCCTTCATCCAATAAAGCTATGTGCCAAAATTGATTGAAATTGTTTTGGCGATTCAAGAGAAGAAGCTGAAAATGTTCAAAAGTTTACAACCAATGCATGTCGCACAATGACTGACAAAAACAGATAGCAATAGGTCACCTGAGAGACTCAGGTTACAGTGCATGTGTAGTGTTATTTGGCTCTAGACATCAGTGTATAATTATGTGTAAGACCACTTAATTTCTGATATACATGATGATGCCTGTCAACACCGTCAAACAAATTCTGATGAGGATTCTGATTATTGATTTGTTTTGAAATACATGTGTATCTTCTTCTTGTCTTCCTTTCATTTTCCTTTCGGTCAAGATCTTAAATCAAGGCAACGTCTTTGGTACCGTATTGCATCTTTTGTAAATACATCAATGTGAAGTTTAAATTCTAACTTCTGATTGGTGTCCAGTCGTGAATAGGCTTATTGTTTGCAAAGTTTATCCATAATCATTTGTAAAAATGATATGATGAATGGCAACCTTTTGTATGTATTTTAGAATGACCTTCATAAGCTAATCATGCTAATATGTTTGCAGTTATCTACAAATTCTAAAACTACATTTATTTCTTAGACATGTAACTGTATTAATGTTTCTACCTCCTATTTCATGGTTAATTCAATAAATATTTTAAATTTTTCACCTCTTAATGAAAAAAAAAACTTTGTTATGAGCTAATATTCCTTCTGTGTGGGTTTGCTTTATCTGAACTTTACGATTAAACCTTTTTAATAACTAAACAATATGACTTTCTTATCATCTAGACTTTCAGTTCTCACAATATGTGCCTCCATACAGAATTGCAAATGAGCACAAAATAAATGTCAGTACAAGACGGAGGGCTCGAATTCCCTTGGTTCTATAGTTTCATAATGAAAACAAAAATGCAGTTACCCTCTTCTGATCTTAAAGGCCATAAAATAATATAGAGAAGATGACAGAGACCAGCCATTTCAGGATAAATTACTCGCTATCAATTTTTATTCTTTGTTCTTTTATACCTACCATAATTATGGTTAAGAATTTCAGGGTAAAAAATTATCAATAATGTGGTATTCTTTCATGAAAAAAATCTTTGATCTTTAATATGCAAAGTGTTTACATTTTTTAACTGACACAGACAACATTTTCCAAGAGAGCTCATTTTGTATAGATCATTATGGTTATGCTCAAGCCAAATACCTTTGCTGCATATTGATGATAGAAATGTATACACTGAGAAAATTCTCTCATTTCAATCAAATAAATATTTATTTCTACTTAACACTTCAAAGTTTCTGTATACTAGATTTAATACATGCAGTTTTCAACTAGGTATCTCTTCTAGTGAATCAATTTAACAATAATTAAACATTCGATGGAATTTTGAGTGTCTAATTTGTTAAGAACATTTACTGTGTTTATAATTCGCCCAATGGATAATGAAAATAGCTGTACCTTAGGTGGGTCCATTCATTTTCTATGGAAATATTTTTAGGTCTTTGTTAGGGAAAGTGATTGCTCTTAAAAATATGTTGTGCATATTTTCAAGACGTGTGTCACTGATTGGACAGATTCAAAGATGTTAAATGGTACATTTGCATTAAAGCATGAAAAGAAATTAACCTTGTTACTTCAGTCTGAGCCATTAGTAAAATACAATTTTTTTATTTTAACGACACAAATGACCTGCTCTCACTAACATGTATCATAATAGTGTATGAAGATGTACGTATTTCAATTCCAACAATCCAATATATATATATATATATATATATATATATATATATATATATATATATATATATATATATATATATATATATATATATATATATATACATACATACATATATATATACGCAACCAATATGTATCCATGTATGCAGATGTTTGGGAAAAATATCTCAAGTGAAGAGTTCAAAGAAAATGATCTAAACACAAAAATGGAGCAAAGGTAGGCTAAAGTCAACAAAGCTTACGGTTACGGGGTTTTGACAAAGAACGAAGAAATTCTCCCACCAATGTGTCTTAGTACATTGTGTATATACATCAAGTGTATTACATTTGGTAAAAATTCATAGCTTAATCAGTTTCAGAGCAACTAATTACCAAAATGCAGAATGATCAAGGAAAAGTGAGGTCAAGTGAAAGGTCAAAGTCAGAAAATATTGCCACAGCTGTATTGTTCATTACAAGTATGTATCAGAAGTTTGAGGAAAATGTTTGAAACAGAGATAAAAAGAGAAATTCGGGATGGACAATCAGCCAGAAGGAAATGAGCCCTGGCAAACATTACAGATCATGTCCAATATCCCATTTTACTCAGTCGCAAAATACCCAACTTTGAAGGTATATATGATTGGTTTATTTAGTCAGCCATTTCAAAATCAGCTGCTAGTACCTGGTACTTTTACCTGACTGAATGATTGTATACTGACCAAAAATATTTAATAACATATTTGATTAAAATCACCTTCCACAAGGTACCTCCTATTTTTGTTAAAGTTATATACCGCTTTTTTCTAATCTTTTTGAAAGCCCTGTTTACCTGCACCAAAAAGTTCAAGAAAAATCAGACATTTGCAGTAATCACTTGCTACACTGTATTCACTTGCTTTTGGCCTCAATTACTATTTTTACAGACTAAAATTTAACAGCAGGAATTAATGCAGTTGTAATTCACGTGGGACTCCATGGATTCTTCTCTTTTACTCTCAATGAAGAAAAAAAGCTACCTCATAAGCCAACAATTAACTGTGTAAACGGATCAATACCCCATAGTTTACATTGCCATGAACTGAACAAGCGGTGGTCACCTCTGTGTTGGCTTTGATAATGTCTAATAATGAATGCCCACGTTTGCCTTCCTGAGAGAAAAAAGGTTATTGAACAATATTGTAAAGAAGTTTTCCAATTATGTAAATTAACATTTTTTATAGTCATGAAGATAAGAGTAATAGCATGTACATTGAGTGGGAGAGCAATTTCCTACAAATCAATGGATATACACAATGCTATTTACATATATCATATACTTTGTAACTTTGCATATATGTATACCTGAGAGAGATGAGGAAAAAAGTTGTGCTAAGTTCTTACTGTACAACACTATATGTCTGAATGTTATTATGCTCTAACTCAAAATAGCCAAAAATGAAATCAGTATTTGGTATTTGTATTTCTTCAAGGAATGTGCAATGGTTCAAATAGCCAGGCACATGACTTAAACAAAGCACCAAATACCAAATTTTCATCCCCGGTTCTAACATTCTTGCAAATGAAACTCTGTCCAGTGGATTGATAAATATCTGGAGGAAGAAAATTAATTTAACATCTTTCACAGGTTACTGACACCATTTGATACACCACAGAACAATTATCTGAGGATTCATCCCTAAGAATCAGCTCCAGCAAGTGAAAATTACTTTTTTCGCAAGGCACTCAAGTACCCCATCATGGTGATAAGATTTTCTTCCATTTCTGAGTATTACCTTCGAAGGACTTGAATTTCATTCTCAAGCGATTCTTCTTTGCCTAGTAATCCACATCGATCTATACATTTGATGGCCACTAATTTCCCCCTTTCTGATTTGTCCTCTGCTAGCAAAACTTCGGAGAAAGCACCCCTGTAAAGACATTAAGTTCAAATATTATACTCAGATTTCTGTTGCAAGCTCTCTAAGATAGCAATTAAAAATATCTTAAACATTCAGAATCTCACCCATTTTATTTTTGACAGTATCATACAAGTAAACAGTTGTGTAAAATGTGGGTAAACCCAACAACCTTCAAAAGGGATACAAATAAACATGAGCAATCTAACTGTTGTTACATATTTAAGTATATACATAATAATTGTTCTGAGGTAGACATTTATAATTATAAATTAACACGTAAGCATATTTTAATGGAACTGAATGGCTTTCTTAATACTACATGCATATTTTATGCAACTGGTTCCCAGTAATGAGAAATACAATACCACTTGATCTACACTAGCAGTTCACCTTTCATCAATTAAATTATACAGATCTATTATATATATACAAGAACCTTAAATGAAATGTCCTTGAAACAGCACGAAAACATTTCTATTATAGGCCTCAGAACATTTCTAGTAATAAGCCTAATGGTTTATTATATAATAAGGACAAACAGGCTTGCAAAGACAATTAACAATTTATGCAAACTTGTTAACAAAATTTGTCATTTCAAGAACTCACGACCCTCTAGCTATCATCCTTATAACTTCAAGATATGATCTTATGCCAGAATCATAACATATGCTGTTATGCCTTAAGAAAAAAATATATATGTATATTCAAGCTTAAATATCATTAAAAAAAATTAAATGATATAATCTACCAGTTTTCAACATGTTGAGCTCTGACATGACTACATTACTTTATTAACTCTAACAAGTGACAATGACCAGAGCCATAGACTGAAGATCAAGACACACCTTTAGGAGATCGAATGATAGTTGAGTCCATTCTTAAAGACTTAAGAGATATAAAACTTTTACCAAAAAAAAAAAGTTTTGCCCAATTTAGGGAAGGAAGCATAGTAAAAATACAGGTGTTATATATTATTGTTACATTCAGCTAAGAAACACAGCAGCTGAAAGACCCTTATCTACAACATTGAGACTAAAGGCTCCAGGACCTTAATCATCTCTCTATACCTCATCATTAACTCATTTACTCTAACATTAGACAGGGTGATAAATGTGTAAGTGAAATTAATATGTAATCTTTCCTAAGAACTGCACAGAAAACATTACCAAAGTACTGTTAATGTCAATAATCTCTGATCTGACATCCAATCAATTTCTTCTTGTTTATGCCTTGTGTTTTCTGAGTGCTAGGAGACTATCATAATTCCGAACACTGACTTCCACAACCATTCACGTAATTACTGACTTCTGTGCAATAATAGTGATATGATATCCTCATCAAAAAAAACCTTTATGCTTCCACACAATTTTATGCATGGAGTTTTGTCCTCTGCTTTCAATGATGTGTGCTTGCTGGTGGAAAATTCCGGCTGCAGTAATTAATTTTAATTTAAAAGGGCTTATTGGTAATTAATGCACAAGATTTGTCTCCTAATCTCTTGTCCAATGATGGAGCTGCACCAAGCAAAGTACAAATGGAACCCTAATAATGGCTCCTGGATATGAGTAGATTCTAGAACTCTTGCATTCAATACTTGTCAGTTTAAGTCATAAATCAACCTTCATTTTTAACAGGAAAGCAAGATCATTACATAAATGAAATACTTGACTTCATTATTCAAGACATTCTCAGATCAACAGATTATTATACATGCATGCTGGTAGTAAAAAAAAGAAGTAAAAACTTGAATTACATATTGCGCTGCAAGTCTGTATTAGGCTACATAAATTTGATGACACATTGCTGCAGCAGAAAGATTAAAAGTGCCTAGTGTTCCACAAGAAAGTTAATTACATGGATACCAAAAGTTTGGCATCTCAATGACTTAATCACTGCAGCAAAATACTCTTCTATGCACGACTGAAGAACTGATAATGGGAATATTTTTTTTCTTTTTGAAGAAAAGAAATCAAATGCTAGGCGATTTAGATCTGAATTCAAAGATGTAAAAATTAATAATATGGGTGAGAGATAGGAATAGACCAGAGCTGCCCACTTGACCAAGGCTTTTTTAAAAAATACTGTTCATTGACAAACGTTTTTAAATATTAAAACTTCCGATTTCTAGAGTTTTTAGGTGGTTTAATATTAAACAAACAAGCAAATTCAAAGAATTGTGGTCCCCCGCTTTTGGTGTCTTAGTGGAAACATGAAGGTCAAGGTCAAGGGGTCAAAATCATAGCATGCTCGGAAACATCTTGTCACAAGTAATGCACGTCAAATATGAAAGCCATATCCCTTCTCAATCAAAGTTATAAGCAAAGATAAAAGTTTGAAAAGAAGGTAAAACTTCAAGGTCACAGGGTCAAAAATCATAGTCAAATTAGAAAGGTCTTGTCAGAGGTAATATACATGTGTAATATGAAAGCCCTATCTTTTCTCATTCAAATTTTATGACTAATTTAAAGTAATGTTAATTTTTTTTAAAAGAAGGTCGAACTTAAAGGTCAAGGTCAAAGAGTCAAATATCAAAGTATATTTGGAAAGGTCTTGTCACAGGTAATGTTCATGTGAAATATGAAAGCCCTATCTCTTCTCATACAGAAGTTATGACCAAGGTTAAAGTTTTTGTGACAGACAGACAGACTGACAGACAGACGAATGAGATTTAATGTTTCCTCGCTTTTGTGAAAGCGGGGTACAAAAATGTGACACTCTCATTCCTTCAAAAGGGTTCAGAAGCACTCTAAACAACGGAAGACACAACTGAAATATTTATAATACTACAAGATTATAACAGCTAGTAGACAGTTGTGACTTTTCTCAATGAACTAGTGGCATGAAAGTATGACAGTAATTCTTATGGTTAAAAGTATCTCATTATGACAGTCAATATTTAAACTTTATATATTTCAGGGTTTACTTTTTTTTTTATTACTGACACTGTAACTGAAAAAGAGAAAGAAAACATACACACTTACACAAAAAATTGGGATTTGGGGGAGATGTAGTCCCTCTCCAAAAAAATCTCACATTGGTAAAAGTTGAACATTTAGAATACCAGGTATTTAATTTTACACACCAGGCAGGTGCATGATGTAGAAAATGGCTATATAGACTATAGCAGTTCATTTAGTGATAGTGAGTGTCCAATAATATATGGTTTTCCATCAAGGTGATTTAAGCAAGAGTTATTTCCCATGGCCGCCATATTGTAGGTCAATATCCCCAGATCCCTTCATTATTCAACCAAGTTCAATTTGTTACTCTGGGCACTGAGGTGAGGATAACACCGTTTTTCTTATGAATATACATTTGTTAAAGCTTCTTTTAATTCATGATTTCAATATTGTAAATATTTTTTAACATATATTTTTAGCATGCATTATTAAAATTGGTTGCTCAAAGAGGAAAATTCACTACTTTGACCTACGAGATGGCGGCCAAGGGGAATAACTCCGAGGAAAAATACGTTTATAGGAAAACCATCTACACTGTACAGGTAGCTGTGTAGTAAAGGGTATAGCAACTAAAAGTTATAACAGGTTGAAGGTACATTAAGCTACAAGTGTAAAAGGTACAGAGAGTAATCAAAAACCTCTCATTATTACTACTGACAACAAAACTAAAAAGTGGGCCCTTTAGAAATATGACTGTGGGATCCTGAAAAAATCATAGGTACTGGTATCCAAATTTGCCCTGACTCAACAGTGTTACAACAGTTAATTGAAGTGTCTTTCATATATTGTACACCATGTATACACCATCAGGATTATTTTCGCCCCATCTTATTTTCCCCCTTTCACATGTTTCACACTTCCAAACTCTTTTGCCCTTAATTCTCCCAGACACAGTTACAGTATTTAATGTAGTTTTGTTTGAAATAACCTCGTTTTAAATTTGTTCACTTCCTAAGAGAGTGAAATGGGCAAAAATAAAGACTGGTGCAAAAATAATATTTTTTTTAGAAATCAAGTAAGAGCCAAAAAGTTAAGTCAGCAGGAAGTACTTTACTTATACATGTATATATGTTTGTATAGATGTACTCTTTTACAAGCCAAAAGGTTCATGAAACAAATATCTTGCAGAATAGTCTGGACAGAATTAACTAATGTAGTTGATGACCCTGTCAGAGGAACCCTGATTCTGCAGAAGTAAGAACATCTATGCATTCATTAATATATTAACTCCAAGCAAATATCCTCAATCAGTTTTAAAAATATTTGAATTAAGTCCAATCTTTAACTATAAATTCTACAATGTCTGCTAGGCCCCCAGTCCCATCCTCTTACAGAACACAAAGCAATCATCTCAGTTTCTTGTTTGACAGATCAGACAATTACTGGAAACAGTTCTTAGACAACTGGGAGTTGCACTTCAATATATCATTTTGTGGATTTCCATAAACTATGCAGATATGTTACAGTAGTGCATTGTTCAATTTATGTATATTATCACAAAGCTGATGAATGTATGTTAGAGTTTGATATATTTGTGGCCTTTAGCATGTTTAGAAATAGGGATGGTCACCTGTACTCGGTATCCATGTTTTTTTTTTCAAATTTACCTGTAAAATACTGTTTCATTCAATTAATACAGGTACCCATATCGGTACTTAATGATTATCCCTTTTTCTATGTATATTCAACGATTCGATTAAATAACAAACCTGAATTGTTTTGAAAATATATAAACTTTATATTTATTTATGCTTATTAATGAAATGATGCATATTGGGCCTTACTTTGTGAGTTGTGTATCTTTTTAATTAATAATGAATGAGAACACATTGCAATGAAATAAAATTGTTAATCACACTGTTTATTCTTTTTTTTTTTTTTTTTGTTCTTACAAAAGATTGCAGATCACATAACAAAATTCCAGAACGCTGATAAATGAAACTGATCACTCCTCTTTCAGTTTTGGTACAATTTCAATAAGACTTAAAATTGATACACAAGTAACGATACTAATTAAAAAAAAAAAGATATTGGTTTTTGATTTTGACA